ACTTTTCTATCAGGTTAAGAGTGGCAGTGATTTATATTTATATAGTGCCTAATTCTGGGCTAAGGTGTAGGTGCTATTTAATAGTATAATTATCGGCAACTAGTAATGCCTGATCACACCTATGGTGGGTTGCTTGATTGTTCTCAATTCTTTATCCCTTCTAGTATCCTGGCTTTTTGCCATGTGACTTTGCAGTTTCTCTTACTAAAGTCCATCTCATTTATGCTGGGCTTGCGTGGGATTTTGGTCAAACGTTTTAAGACTAGGTCTAGTGTTTATGCTTAGTCCTCCTGCACTCTACCATTACCATAACATGGACCCCAGTCAGCCACTGGCTCAAGGAGGACCAAGTAGATCTGGGCTAAAAACTGCAGTTGAGCAGTAAACTGATCAGCAAACACATAAGTGAGAATAAATGATTTCTCTCTTATGCTACTGAATTTGTCTTGCTCATTATAAAATATTATTATGGTAGCAACTGACAGATATATCTGCCTTCTTTCAGGATTTATACAGAAGATGATAACACGAGAAAAATGAAAAGTTGATCGAACATAGAAGAGTACAAACTCAATGCCTGCATGCAGTCTTAGAAAGCCTGGGTTGGTGCTGTGGTTTAGCCCTGAAGTCAAATTGAATTTCTTGCTTTCCCTAAATCTTGTGAACTCACCAATTCAGCTTGGTCTGGACTGAACAATAAACTAAAGAGAGTAAGAGGGGCAGTGATAGGCCTGGTTCTGGAGATGAATGTGTCCAGAATCTGTGAAAACTGCATCAAGTCATGAACTGATCCGACTTCTTCAAAGCAGACTGGAAGCTGATGGCAACTGAAAATTCTTCCTTTCTTTTTCCTTTCCTTCCTTTCCCTTTCCCTTCCCCTTCCCCTTTCTCTTCCCTTCCTTTCCCCTTCCCTTCCCTTTCCTCTTCCATTCCCTTCCATTCTCCCCCTGCCTCTTTCTTCCTCTTCCCTTTCCTTTCCCTTCTCTTCCCTTCCCCTTTCTCCTCCCCCTTCTCTTCCCTTCCGTTCCCCTTCCTTCTCCTTCCTTTTACCCTTCCTTCCCCTTCCCCTCCTCTACCTCCTATTCTTTTTCTTATCTTCATATTTATCTTTATCTTCCTCCACCTATCTTACTGGCAGCTTCCATGATAGAATTAACATGAGCAAAACAGAGAAACATCCAGTTTCTAGACAAGTTCACATCTTAGATAGCAAAGCTGTCTGAGAGTCCTGTGACACAATGAGCTAGATGAGTAACCAGCCCTTTGGTTGGGGTAAGGGCAGGGGCCACAATCACCAGTGGAGACAGATGTGCTCAGCAGGGCTGCCAGCCCACGAGGGCCCTCAGTGACAGCAGCAACAGGAGAACAGCAACACAGGAAGACACAGGCACCTGGGAGATTGCTTTTTCTCACTGAAGGCAAGAGGCTGTGTCCTGGGAAACTCTCAGGAAAAGTTAGGAAACATTTTTGCATTTAATGACAGTTAATTTTTATCAAGTATTCTAAAGAAAGTGTGTCCCCCACTAAAATGTGAACAACAGGACATGAACATTTATTGTGTAAGCATAGAAGAGTAAAATTTTTGTCTTAGTCTGTTAGTGCTTCTAGGACAAAATATCACTGAGTAATTTACAAAAAACATAAACTTATTTTCTCACAGTCTGGAGGCTGGGGAATCCAAGGTCCAGGCATGGGTGTTCAGTGTCTGTTGAGGGGCACAGTCTCTCCCTCCAAGAGGGAGCCTGTTGCTGTATTTTCTGGGGAAGAGGAACATTGCGTCCTCACATGGCAGAAAGCAAAGGGGAAATGAGCTGATCACTGTGTAAAGCCTCTTTAATCAAGGTCTTAATCCCATTCACAAGGGAGGAGGCCTCATGGCCTAGTCACGTCTTAAAGACCCCGCCTCTTCACACCTTCACATTGGCCAACCTTGAGGAGCTAGAGGGGATCCTTTTAAATCACAGCACACAAGGTGGTAAAATTATACAGTGATGTGAAATCTACTTCCCTCCAAACCTCTAAAATGTTGCCAGAAATCTATCAGACCTGGTCATAGGATAAAACTCTGCTATTATCTACCAGGAATCCTTCAAATACTTAAAGAAATCTTGCTTATGATGCTTGACTTGATTCAAAATAAAAATTCTATTTTTAAAATAAGTGTTCCACAAATGCCCACTCTTCTAACTGTTTGAAGATGATCAATACTAACTGTAAACACTGTGGGAGAATGGTGTTCGTGCTTCACGTGGTGTATTGAAGATGACTTAGTGGAGGTGGCTTGGACAAAGGGGAGCTTTCTGTTCAGAGTGTGCTTCCTTCCGAAGTTTTTGATATGTTTATTATCCCCATAAATGTCACCTACTGTACTTACAAATCTGCAAATCTTGGGTTGCAAGATTTTCTACCTGCAGTGAGATGCACATTATCTCCATGAGCTAAATATTTCTGTAACTTTCTCATTTGGGTCTAAACGCAAACAGTTAAAAGCAATGCAAATGTCTATCAGTTGGGACTTTCTGAGTTATTCTCAGACACAGACATGAGTGTCCTCTTCCTCTGGTTTCAGGATGCCAGCTTTTGGAAACAGTCCTAAGTAAGGAAAACAGTCTAAGTCAAGTGCGGCTTCTTGTTTGAGTCGAATGGTCTGAATACTGGGTTCAGTTACCCAGCATGACTCGAGGGCATCTGTGTGTCCCACTCACTGGGCCTGCTCCAGTCCTGCAAAAGCTTCTACCTGTGTGTCTCGGTTGGCACTTGACAGTGGGAACTTAACCACGTTAGAAAGAGGCAAGGCCTGGGCCAGAAAGTGAGGCTTTGGGAAAAGACCTTGAGAATTGAAAGAGTTTACTTTCAGAGCTCTGTTCAGAGTAGACAGGTGGAATTCAGGTATCCGTGGGAGAGACGGTCAAGGGAAGACTTTGTGTTCTTGGCTATTCTCTGAGCATGGTCTTTTGTCTGCAACTTTGTGCTCTGAGTGAAACCCCATCCACTACAGCTGTCAGGCAGCATATGCCGTAATAGTAAGAACAGTTTAGAGCAACATGGCCTGTGTTCAAGTTCTCCCTTCACGGTCTGCAACTACTTGGTGTATCAATTTGTTTAAACTTGAGTTCAGTGAAAGAAAGCCCACCTTCCTGCATAAAAAAGGACATTTTTCATCATCAGAGTTATTAGCCATAGAGGTACATTTGAGCCTTCACAGTCTTATTTTTATTTTTATTTTGATAACAAGGTCTCACTCTGTCATCAAGGCTGGAATACAGTGGCGTGATCATAGCTCAGCCTTCTGAGTATCTGGGACTACAGGTACATGCCATTGTGCCTGGCTAACTTATTTATTTTACATTATTTTTCATAGAGATGGGGTCTCACTTAGTTGCCCAGGATAGTATCAAACTCCTGGCATCAACAAATCCTCCCACCTAGGCCTCCCAAATTGCTGGGATTACAGGTGTGTCTTTTTTGACATAAGTCAATTAGCCACAATTTTGTAAAAAATATAGAAGAGTTATAATTAATAATACACTTGTATCTTTCAAGAAAAAAAAAATGCCTTCCTCGTAGTGTTATTATAAAACTTAATTGTAGGTCTCTTTAATATATCCTGACACATAGAAACAATAAATAAGTGTAAGCTGCTTCTCTGGATGTTTTGCTATCAGTTTTGGTATTTTATCAAATTCTTCCTGTTCTTGTCATCTCTATGGATAAATCAGGGAAACAGAAGCATGAATCATTCCCCTAAACTTTAACTCCAGGGAGGCAAGTGGTCAGTCAGGAAAGTGGTTTCTTGAATGTGAGACTTATGAATTCTTAGAAAACTATCATGAAAAAAGGCCAGCTTTGGGGTTAGGAAGATTCATATTTGACATCAGTTCTGACATTTTTCAGCTCTAAGAACTTCTCCAAACTATCCAGTAAGACTGGCAGTTGACACTTCCTGAGCAGCTATAATTGCCAGACACTGATCTAATTGGTTTACACGTATAAGCAATTAACTTTCAGAAGGCCCCTTTCAGATTAATGCTATTTTTATTTGCATTTTTTAGACAATGAAAACAATCCAGAAAAAAATGATGGTAACTCACTGTGCTCTGAGGTATCTCAGCTCCAGACTATAACTTTAACTTCTAAGCAACACCACCTCTCCACTTCAGTTTTCTTTCTGTGCAATGGAAGTAATTCCCACTGTACAATATTTGTTTGTGAGGATTAAATGCACAAACTTTTCTAAAAGCCCAAGCACATTGATTGCCACACTCTAATTGCATTTAACTAATGACATTTATCATTAGGTTTCTTGGTTGCAAGCAATTGAAAGAAACTCTTGTTAACTGAAGTAAAAAAAGAAATTTAGTGAAAGGATTTTTGGTAGCCAAAATGATTATGGGAAGGCTGAAAACCAGGCTACTCAAACAAGCAGGACTCAGAAGGAATTTTTTGTCATACATAACAGCTGAAGAATATGTACCCCAATCCTGTTCAATTAGGAAGCTTTGGTACATACCATCATTACCTTTTCTCCGACATATAGCCACTGTTAGTATTTCTTCATAGTGTAAGTGACAAGACTGAATCAGTAATACAGTCTCCCCAAAAAAGTCTAGAACTGTATAACTTCACTGTTGATTTCTACTGAAGTTTTAAAGAAGAAATAATACCAATTCATCTCAAACCATAACAAAAAATTAACATGAAAGGAATATTTTCTAACTCATTTTACAAGGCCAACATAACCTTGATAATACCAAAACCAGAGAAGAAAAAATAAAAGAAAGTACAGGCCAATATCCTTGATGAAAACAGATGCAAAATTCCTCCATAAAATATGAGTGAACTGTCTAACAACACATCAAAAATCAATGCACAACACCATGATCAAGTGGGATTTATTCCAGGAACACAAGAACTGTTCAACATACACAGATCAATGAATGTGATTTATCACTTCAACAGGACAAAGGAAAAAAGTCATGTGATCATTTTAGTAGATACAGAAAAGGTATCTGGCAAAAATTCAACATCCATTTATGATAAAAACTCTCAATATCATGAAGGGATATTGAATTTTGTCGAATGCTTTTTCTGTATCTATGGAAATGATCACATGATTTTTGGAAACTACCACAATATTTGTAAGCTATACATAATTTTGCAAGGAAAGTACCATGATACAATAAAGGCCATATATAGCAAACCCAAAACTAACATCATACTGCATGGGGAAAAACTGAAAGCTCTTTCTCCAAAAACAGGAACCAAACAAAGATGATCGCTTTCACTACCTCTATTCAGCATAGCTCTGAAAGTACTAGCCAGAGCAATTAGGCTAAATAAAGGGCATACGAATTGGATAGAAGGAAGTAAAATTGTTCTTGTTTGAAGCCAGTATGATCTTAGATATGGAAAAACCTAAAGACTCTATCAAAAAACTCTTAGAGCTGAAAAACTAATTCAAAAAAGTTGTAAAGTACAAAATCAACATACAAAATTCAGTAGCATTTCTATAAACAAAAAAAACTAGCTAAAAAATAGTCAATCCCATTTACAATAGCTACAAAAATAAAATACCTAGAAATAAACTTAACTTTTGTTTTCAGATTTGACATATAAATGAGATCATATGGTATTTGTCTTTCTGTGTCTGGCTTATTTCACTTACATAATGACTTCCAGTTCATCCATGATGAGGCAAGTGACAAGATTTTAATCTTATTTGTGTCTATATAGTATTTCATTGTGTATATATACCACATTTCTTTATCCATATTGGAAATGAAAATCAAAGTGTGATTTTGAATCTATATCTTAGCTACTGTGAATAGTGCTGTAATAAATATGGGAGTGAAGATATCTTTTCAGCATACTGATTTCATTTCCTTTGGACATATATTGAATGGTGGGATTGAGGGATCATATAAAAGTTCTATTTTTAATGTTTTGAAGTACCTCCATAATGCTTTCCATAGTGGGTATACTAATTTAGAATCCCAACAGTTTAAGTTTCCTTTCTTCTCCAGATCCTTGCCAACACTTGTTTTATTTTTAAAATAATAATAATAATGATAATGGCCATTCTTACTGAGTGAGGTGGTACCTCCTTGTGATTTTGATTTGCATTTCCTGATGGTTGTATTTCATTACTCTTAAACAATTTTATACACCAGTTCGCCATTTGTATGTCTTTTTTTTTTTTTTTTTTTGAGAAATTTGTAGTCATGGCTTTTGACCATTTTTTTTAAATCATGTTATTTGTTTTTTGGCTATTGGATTATTTAAGTTCCTTATCTATTCTGCCATTATCCCCTAGTCAGATGTATAGCTTGCAAATATCGTATCCTGTTCTGTAGATTGTCTCTTCACTCTGTTGTTTTCTTTGCTAAAAGCTTTTTAGCTTGTCGTAATTTCATTTTCCTATATTTGATTTTGTTTACTGCGCTTTTGAGGTCTTATTGAAAAAATCTTTGCCCAGTTCAATGCTAGGAAGCATTTCATTTACATTTACTTCTAGTAGTTTCGTAATTTTAGATTTTACGTCTAATCCATTTTGAGTTGATTTTTGTATATGATGAGACGTAGGGCTATAAACTCTTTCTTCCACACACAGACATTCAAAATTTAGCATAATTTACTGAAGAGAATATCTTTTCCCCTATGTGCGTTCTTGACAATTTTGTTAAAAATCAGTTGGCTGTAGGTCTGTAATTTTATTTCTGTGTCCCCTATTCTGTTCCACTGGTTAATCTGCTTGTTTTTTATGCCAGTATTATGGTCTTATGGTTGTTATACCTTCGTAGTATATTTTGAGTCAGGTAGTGTGGTGCTTCCAGTTTCAACTTACCCTCATTCAGTATGTTAATTGTGAGTTTTTCATATATGGCCTTTATTGTGTTCAGGTACTTTTCTTTTACACCTAATTTGTTGAGAGGTTTTATTATGAAAGAATGTTTAATTTTGTCAGATGCTTTTTTTGCACTTATTGAAGTGATTATTTAATTTTTGTAATTTATTCAGTTGAAGTGCTGAATCACATTTATTGATTTGATTATGTTGAATCATCTTTGCATCCCTGAGATGAATCTCGCCTGATCATAATGAATAATATTTTAAATGTGATGTTGAATTTGATGTATTTGTATTTGGTTGAGAATTTTTACATCTATATTCATCAAGTTATTTGGCCTTTCTTTTCCTTTTTTTTTTTTTAATCCTTAAATCAAAAAACATAGAACAGATACACAAAAAATAAGAAACAGTAAATTAAATTATATCACTGAAGAAAAATCCCCTTAAATAAAAATATAACAGGAAGGAAAAAATGAAAAGAGTACAATAAAACAACAGGAAAACAAATAAACTGACAGGAGTAATTCCCTACTTTTTAATAATAACATTTAATATAAGTGGACTAAACTCTCCAATCAAAGAACATAAAGTGGCTGAATGGGTGAAAATACAAGACTCAATGATCTGTTGCCTATAAAAAACACACTTCACCTAGTAAGATTCACATAGACTGAAAATAAAGGGACGCAAAAAGATATTCCCTACCAATGGAAAAAAAAAAGAAAGAAGGAGTAGCTAAACTTATATCAGACAAAATAGATTTCAAGACAAAAACTGGAAGACAGCAACATGTCATTATATAATGATAAAGCAGTGAATTCAGCAAGAAAGTAAAAACAATTGTAAATATATATGCACCCAACACTGGAGCATCTAGGTATATAAAGACAATATTATTAAAACTAAGGAGAAAGATAAAGCTTAATACAATGAGAGCTGGAGACTTTAAAACCCGACTTTCAGCATTAGACAGATCTCCCAGACAGAAAATCAACAAAGAAACATAGAACAAATGGATCTAATAGATATTTATAGCATATTTTATTGAACAGCTACAGAATGCACATTCTTCTCTGCACATGGATTATTCTCAAGGATAGACCATATGTTAGGTCACAAAGCAAGTTGTAAAATGTTCAAAAAATTGAAATAGTATTGAGCATATTTTCTGACCACAATGGAATAAAATTCAAAATCAATAACAGGAGGAATTTGGAAAACTATACAAATATGTGAAAATTAAACAATACGTTCCTAAATGGCCTGTGGGTGAATGAAGAAATTAAGAAAGTATTTGAAAAATTCATTGTAAAAAATGATAATGGAAACACAGTATATCAAATCCTATGGGATGCGCAAAAGCAGTACTAAGAGGGAAGTTTATAAGTGCCTGCATCAAAAAAGAAGAAAAACTTCAAATAAGTGACCTAACAATTCATATTGAAGAATTAGCAAAGCAAGAGCAAACTAAACCCCAAATTAGTAATAAAAAAGAAATAATAAAGATGACAGGATGAATAAATGAATTTGAAATAAAACAATACAAAAGATCAAAAATAAAAGCTGGTTTTTTTTTTGAAAAGATAAGTGATATTGACAAATCTTAGAGTAAAGAATAATAAATAAGGGAAAAGTCTCAAATCAGGGATGAAAAAAGAGACATTACACCAGATACAGCAGAAATTCAAAGAATCATTAGTGGTTACTGCAAGCAATTATATGGCAATAAATTAGAAAATCCAGACAACATGGATAAATTCCTAGATATATACAACCTACCAAGATCGAACTCTGAAAAAATCCAAAACTTGACCAGACCAATAACAAGTAATGAAATCGAAGCCATAATCAAAATTGTCCCAACAATGAAAAGCCTGGTACCTTATGGCTTCACCCCTGAATTTTACCAAACTTTTGAAGAAGAACTAATACCAATCATACTCAAACTATTCTGAAAAAGAGAGGATGAGGGAATACTTCCAAACTCATTCCATAAAGTGTTACCATGAAACTAAAATCAGACAAAGATGTATCAAAAAAGGAAACTACAGGCCAGTATCTCTGATGCATATTGATACAACAATCTACCACAAACTACTAGCAAACTAGTATTCAACAATACACTTAAAAAATCAATTATTATGACAAAGCGGGATTTATCCCAAGGATGCAAGGGTGGTCCAATATATGCAAATCAATTACTGTAATGCATCATATCAACAGAATAAATGACAAAAACCATATGATCATTTTAATTGATGCTGAAAAGGATTTGATAAAATTTAACATCTTTTCATTTAAAAAATGACTATAGAAGGAACATACCTCAACATAATAAAAGCCATAGATGACAGGACCATAGCTAATATACTGAATGAGAAAAAAACCGAAAGTGTTTCCTCTAAGATCTGGAACACATCAAGGATTCCCACTTTCACCAGCATTATTCAATATAATACTGGAAGTCCTAGCTACAGGAATCAGACAAGAGAAAGAAATAAAGGGCATTCAAATTGGAAAGAAAAAGGTCAAATTATCCTTATTTATAGATGATATGATCTTATTTTTGAAAAAATCTAAAGTCTCCACCAAAACTATTAAAATGAATTAACAAATTTAATAAAGTTAGATGCCAACAGTAAACAATCTGAAAAAGAAATTTAAAAAGTATTCATATTTACAATAGCCACAAATAAAATTAAATTCCTAGGAATTCACCAAAGAAGTGCAAGATCTCTACAATGCAAACTATAACACGCTGATAAAAGAAATTGAAGAGGACACAGTAAGATAGATATTTTGCGTTCATGGATTGGAAGAATTATTATTATTACAATGTCCATTCTACCCAAAGCACTCTACTGTTTCAATGCAAATTTCAAATGCAAATTTCAGTCAAGATACTAATGATGTTCTTTATAAAAATAGAAAGCACAATCCTTAAATTTATACAGTAGCACAGAAGACCCAGAATAGCCAAAGCTATCCTGAGCAAAAAGCACCAAACTTGAGGAATAATATTACCTGACTTCCAATTATATTGCACAGCTATGATAATAAAAACAGCATGGTACTGGCATAAAAACAAACATATAGACCGGTGGAACAGAATAGAGAACCCAGAAACAAATCTACACACCTACAGTGAACTCATTTTCAACAGAGGTATCAGGAACATACATTGGGGAGAAAATGGTCTCTTCAATAAATAGTGCTGGGAAAGCTGGATAGCTGCATGAAAAGTAATAAAACTATACCCCCATCTCTCATCTTATATAAAATTAAATCAAAATGGATTAAAGATTTAATTCTAACACCTCGAACTATGAAACTACTAAAAGAAAGCATTGAGTAAACTCTATAGGACATCTGTCTGGGAAAAATTTTCTTGAGCAATACTCCACAAGCACAGGCAACCAAAGCAAATATGGACAAAATGAGATCACATCAAGTAAAAAAGCTTCTGCACAGAAAAAGGAAACAATCAATGAAGTGAAGAGACAACCCAGAGGTTGGGAGAAAATATTTGCAAACTATCCATGTGACAAGGGATTAATAACCAGAATATATCAGGATCTCAAACAACTCTATAGGCAAACAAAACAAAACACTCAAATAATCTGATCAAAAAATGGACAAAATGTTTGAGACATTTAACAAAAGAAGATCTACAAATGACAAACAGGCACATAAAATGTTGCTAAAAATCACTGATCATCAAATGCAAATCAAAACTGCAATGAGATGTCATCTCACCCCAGTTAATATGGCTTATATCCATAAGACAGGCATAAGACAAATGCTGGTGAAGATGTGGAGAAAAGGGAACCCTTTTATATTGTTGGTGGGAACGTAAGTTAGTACAAACACTATGAAAAACAGTTTGGAGTTTCCTCAAAAATCTAAAATAGAGCTACCACATGATCTAGTAATCCCATTGCTGGGTATATACCCCAAATAAAGAAGATCAGTATATGGAAGAGATACCTGCATTCCTATGTTTGTTTAAGCTCTGTTCACAATAGCCAAGATTTGGAAGCAACTTAAGTGTCTGTCAGCAGATGAATGGATGAAGAAAATGTGGGACATATACACAATGGAGTGCTGTTCAGCCATGAAAAGAATGGGACTGGAGATCATTATGCATAGTTAAGGAAGCCAGGCACAGAAAAGCAAACATCATCTTTTCTCACTCATATTGGGGTCTAAAAATCAAAACAATTGAACTCATAAACACAGAGAGCAGAAGGATGGTTACTAGAGGCTAGGAAGGGTATTTGGGCGGAGTGGAGGGGATTTGGAGATGGTTAATGAATACAAAAAATAGGCGGAAAGAATGAATAAGTCCTAGTATTTATAGCACAACAGGGTGAATATAGTCATTAACAATTTAATTCTACATTTTTAAAGAACTGAAAGAGTATAATAAGATTGTTTGACACAAAGGATAAATGCTTGAGGGGATGGATACCCCATTTTCTATGATGCAATTACTACACATGTATCAAATTATTTCATGTACCTCATAAATATATACACCTACTATGTACCCCAAAAATTGAAAATTAAAAAAAGAATATGTAGGTGAGAGAAAGCTCTTTTTTTTTTTTTTTGAGCTTCGACATAATTGTTAGAATCCACCTCAGAGATGGTAGCAGGTTAATCTACACAATATTGCCAATATTTGTTTTAACAAACACAAATAGCATTTTCTATGATTAATCTATGTATTTAATATTCACAGCATAGGTCTCCCTGAGAATCTGACCTTAAAGTTTTGTTGCAATTACAAGCACGTCTATAAAAAGGTAATTGTTTAGTTTGACTTATTGGGTTGTGACAATGAAGTTCAGGTTAAGTTCCTTGCTAGGTGTGCATAAATAGGCACATTGTTGTTTAATTAAGATAGAGATTTTCAATCTTAGTGACTCTCTAAAAAATTTTTTGTTCTGTGGGCAGCCTGTGCATCTCTCTGATATTTTTGTTCTCTAATCACATATGGTGAGATTTTTTAAAAAATTTTTTATCTTTTTGAGACAGAGTTTTGCTCTCATTATCCAGGCTGGAGTGCAATGGCACGATCTCGGCTGACAGCAGCCTCTGCCTTCTGGGTTCAAGTGATTCTCCTGCCTCAGCTCCTGAGTAGCTGAGATTCCGGGCATCTGCTGTGACACCTAGTTAACTTTTTTATTTTTAGTAGAGATGGGGTCTCTCCATGTTGGACATGCTGGTCTCGAACTCCCAGCCTCAGGTGATCTGCCCACGTTGACCTCCCAAAGTGCTGGGATTGCAGGTGTCAGCCACCGTGTCCGGCCAGGGTGAGATTATTGATATAATATCAATAAAATTTAAAGAGGGAAGTGCAAATAGAGCCTGGTGTGGAAAGCACATCCTTTGTGTGGGTTATCGTGATAGCTATGAAATACATCATTCCATTTAATTCTTATGGCACTGTGTAAGGAATGTCAGAGGATAAAAAACGTGGTCAGAAAAGTGAAGAAAACTCACTCAACATCGTAATCCTAATAAATGCCAGAGCAAGAGATGGGATTGTTGCATTAGACTGTAGAGTCCAATGTTATACTAGGTGCTATTCCAGGTGGAGAAGTCATGGCAGTAGCCACCAACACCATGCTTTAGCAAGCACCTGACATCTTTTGATGGTTATGGTTCTTGTCTGCCATGGAGAAGGAACTCTTCTGAAAAGGTTCCCAAGTGCCCAGAGACTTTGGAAATTGCATTGTGCCACCATATGCATAACATATAAGTAGAGAGTCTATAACCATCTTAGTTAAAGCAGTGGCAAAGTTTATAAAACACTGTTAAAAACCAGTGACAATATGCATCCTCATTACAGAAGATTTCCAGTGGCTCCTTGAGCTCTCTGCCTCAGGGTTGCCATACATTCCAACTCCTCTTTTGCCTGTTTTACTTTAATAGCCTGATAAATATCCTCTAGCCACAAGATGCACTTTGTGGCCAGTATGACCTCAGAAAATACAAAAAGAGTCTACCCTGGAGCTCCTACCTGCCCCTCACACACATTCAAAATTAAAATTCCTAACCCGGAGTCCAAATATCTTTATGTCCTGGCCTCTCTCGCTCTCCACGGGCTTCTCCATAACCATTCTATCATCCTGCTTGCACCGCAATATTCTTCCAACCCTCCGATTCAGCAGGCCCCTGTGGTGCAGCACCACAAGTCAGAGCTCTCCAAATTGTGCAGGCAGCAAATAAGAAGGCTTTGATTTGTATTTTAAATCTAAAATTAAGAAAAGTACATATTACGAATTCTACAAAAATTGACAATGAGCAATAACCTCTTCTGAAAGAAGGATGGCAATCCCACAAGCTTGTCTAACTACTGGGGGCCGCTCATGTACCCACTTTTGAGCTCTTTTGACATAGAGCCCTTTAAGTTTCACAGTATGTCATTGATACGGTGACACCAATAAAAACGAAGACAATAAACGGTCTTATTATCTACAATAAAGACAGTAGATGCTTCATGGGACTTTTAATGAGATGGTAGGCAATGATGTAAAACCTTTAAACTGTGTGACATTTGTTTGATTATCTCATGAAAGATTATTTGGAAGTCTCAGGAGTGTCCATGACTGCAAAGCTGAGGCCCTGGCCCAGAAGTGGCATCTGTGTAAACTGTGATGTCTAGTGCATACAAGCAGCACCAGTGGGACCATCATCAGATGAACTCTGTTTACTGGACATCATTCACAGAAGCTGAGATGCAAACCCTGCTCTCAAACCCTCTCCTAAATATTGCAGCTCAGTCAAGGCTGTGTTAATAAATTATATGTATTTAACATGCCAGAGCAGCTTTGATTGGCAACTAGAAACCCTGATTCTATATAAATGTCCTGCTCTGGCTGGCATTTTCTGTGGTGAGATGTAGTTATTACTAGCATGCTTCTTAAGATTAGATTACCTGGCTGGGTGCAGTGGTTCATTCCTGTAATACCAGCAGCTTGGGAGGCCAAGGCAGGTAGATCACCTGTGGTCAGGAGTTCAAGACCAGCCTGGCCAACATGGTGAAACAAAAATTACCTGGGCATGGTGGCACATGACTGTAATCCCAGCTACTCGGGAGGCTGAGGGAGGAGAATTATATGAACCCAGGAGGCGGAGGCCGCAGTCAGCTGAGATCACACCACTACACCAGCCTGGATGACAGAATCAGACTCCATCTCAAAAAAAAAAAAAAATCAGATTATCTATCTGTGTGTCTATGTATCCATCTATTTCCATGGTGATATGGACAGATAGTTTGATCCATTAGGTATGCAGATCTTGATAGATCAAGATATCTATGCATGTCTGGATGTCTATGTCTCTATCTAAATACAGTAAAAATGGAGATCTAAGTATCTATTTCAGAGGTGTATAAATACAAATATATAGAAATTTATATTACTCTAAAAACTGATATAAACAGATAAATATTTGTCTATATCTCTATCTTGTATTTAGCAATGTATGTGATGGTTAAATTTGTGTCAGCTTGGCTAGGTTATGGTGCCCAGTTTGATCACACACAGTCCAGATATTGCTGTAAAGGTATGTTGTAGATGTGATTTACATTTTTAATCAACTGGCTTTAAGTAAAGGAAATTACTTTGCATCGTACAGGTGGGTATCACCTATTCATTTAGAAGCCTTTAGAGCAAAACATGTAGCTTTCTTGAAAAAGAAGGAATTCTGGCTCAAGATTTGAATTTTGCCTCAAGAAAAATTGCACGAGCTTCTAATCTGCTGGCCCACTATATCGATTTTGTACTTGCCAGTCTTAACAATTGCAAGAATAATTCCTTAAGAGAACTCTCATTCTTTTTCTATCTGTTTTCTTTATCTTCTCTCTATATTTAAGGAAAGCTTGACTGATACAGTATATATCTATATCTATGTAACAATAAATATATATCCTTTTTCTCTGTCTATACTTCTCTGTCTTTACATATATATGTTTATATGAACTTAAATATAATTATTTACACATCCATCTAAATCTTTATATTTTAATTTATATCAGTTCCCATATCTATATACATTTGTCTATGTATATCTCTG